GAGGGCAATGCTGTATTACGAATCGATAAAGTTAGAGTTCAGTGGTGATAAAATTTCAATCAAAGTGACTGAACAATCAATAAGCTTGGTCTTATAACTTAATCGTCACCAGTACGATCACTGGCGGCGCTGCGGGTGCGCACTACTGAAGAATCCCATAATAGGACGAAATAGCTGTTGGAAATCTAACAATTCTTATTAAAAGAAGTGAGAGAAGTAAAGACTATGGAAGTGATTTCGCTATTTTTTTTAAAGTTAATGAATGCATCTATTTATCAATATACTTGCTTAGTTTGGCAGATCTTTGGTCTGATGATCACATTTAGTGATTATTAAACTTTTTAAGAAACCACCCAAATAACCACTGCTCCTTTTAAATTATCAAGATATATTTGGAGCTGGTATCATGTGTGAGAAAAGGTAGTGAATTCAGTTCATTTTTCGGTGAACCTTCTAAGTAAGCATGAAGCATAAGTTTGTGCTCCTTGATTACCCCAGATATATTGTTTTTCCTTCACGTTCCCAGTGGAACATAGGGTTTCAAGCTAGTTGGCTTGAAGTTTCTGTAGCAGTGGTGTTTATTTTACAGGATGGGGTTGCTAGCCTCATGCCCAACCTTTCCTCTTTACCAGCATTATTTCTGACTTAGCGAGGTGAAGGATTGCGTCATTGGCGGGGATCGAACCCCGAACCATGTTCATGGTCGGCGAGCGTCCTAACCGCTATACCACCGATGCACACCTCAGATATTACCACGAGCTTATTACCAACCAGTGTCATAGGTTACTATCTCTTTGGTCTATTCACATTGGATATTTGATGTTTTATAGGGGGTAAACATACCAGACACCTTAAATTAATACTGAATGAACCAAAGATTTATTATAGTAAATACTTTTGGTGTAAAATATACCTATCCGGATTTCTCGATTGATTCTATCCCGCATGGAAAACCCATGAAATAACTAGTCATAAAGAAAATTATGCTCAATAGCAAAGCTACTTTTAGCTGACAAGACTGTTGCATAGACGATTATATTAGACGTGAGATAGGCATAATCTCCAGTTATGTTGGAGGAAACCAATCGAATTAATTAATTACTATAGGCCTCTATATATACCAAACAATCAAAGCAGAAGAGGCCATTACAATTCGAAATATATCAACAGGAGTTGTATGCGCAAAAGAAACAGATGCAGTCAGTCATTGTTGTTGTTCCTGGCCTGCTGTCAAACTTAAATAATCTTGGATTCTGTGTTAATTTGTCTAATTTATCTGATATTCAGTCAGCCTAGTGTTATATATTAATGGATATTATCTCTCTCTCTCTCCTACTGTTGCTTTTGAAATGTAATCTGTAATCAGCGTAATTTAAAACAGTATTAATTTTGTTAACAATAATAATATTTCTTTAGTCATAATGTTCATATAAATGTAGACGCTGATGAGGACTTTGTTAAAAAGAGACGAAATCCTCAATTTGCCTTATCTAAGATGAAATCATTCTTAATTTTGTAATAATGAAGACCATACTTACAGGTTTCAGTAAGTACTCAAATCTAGGTTGATACATTTTTGAATCAAAACTCTGTATTACTCGAAAAATTAAATGCTTCTATAGTTAATAATAATAACAATAATTTGCTTTATTCCAGAAACAGTACTAGTGGTACAGTGTGGAATTTTCAGCACAATATCTACAATATTTGCATCTAATTTTATCAAACATTTAAAAGGAGTATTAAACAAACAAACAAAAATAAATCTAAAGACACCAACAGCAAAAAAACAGGATAAACACAAAATAATTATAAATGCGAAAAAATACCAAGAAGTAGAAAGGAAAATAAACAGCATATAATAATAACTCAGTATTGGGTAGTGGAAGCTATGATGTGATTATGCATGGTGACAGTAAAGCTATAGTCATACGAGAAGTTATGAAATGATATTTAAGAATGTTTATCGCCAAGATGGTCAGTTAATTTGATTGACAACTCTAAACAATCATAAAATGGCGTTCACAACCAATGATTGTCAGTTTAATATTGCCGAAAAGTATAGAAAATAAGAAAAAGACAACCACAAAACTAATAATTACATGATGGTTAATGACAGGACAATTTTGTAATACTCATAGTGCTAATAGAGTCGGAACCAGTGGATACACAATAGAAGGAATATAGTAAAGTACAAAAAAGGAAGCCAATGTTAATATTTTAGGTAGCTAAGTATGTTCGAGAAGGAGTTCACTATAGAATACAAAATAAGAGAGAAATAAAAGAGCCTAAAATTATGTTATTAACAACAAAGCAAGTCATTGTCTCTGTCGCTTAGAACACGGGCCAAGTATGGTATGGTATCGTTGAGTTCCTGTAATTGGTTGTACGAGCACAGATTATTTTATACTGATTTCTGGTTTTACTTGATGAGATACAAGGAGAGAGTTGGGAATAGAGGGAGTGTTGGGGGTCGGAGAGTATGGTTTTTGACCATTGTTCACATGTATTCAGATGCCTATCAACTAAAGTAGTGACGAGCTGATTGAGTTTTACACCACTAGTCCTACTAACTACCTTCAACATCCTTCTCAGGATGGTATAGTCCTTTTTCAGTAGATCAGGAAAGACTAACGGGGAGCAGTAAAGTAGAATAGGTAAGATACAAGAGTTGACAAATTGTGAAAGTAGAGGTTGGGTAATTCCAGATTGTCTAAGTTTATTAATGTAGTAGGTAAGACAGAACACTTTCATAGAAATCGTTAGGATATGAGATGTCCAAGTAAGATCGGAAGATAGAACTAGACCGAGGTATTTTGCATTAGACTTAGTTTCAATTTTAGTCCCCTCAAAGCAACAGTCTTCATGAGTACTTACTAGTGTTTGTAGATCTCGTTTATGCCTAAGGGAGAAGTCAATAGTCTGGCACTTTGAGGGATTCAGCATGAGACCATTTAGTTTAGAGCACTCACTGATGTCCGACAGGAAGCTATTTAATTTGAAACAGTCTGACTGAGACTTAATGGGAAACGATACAGACAGGTCATCTGCATATTTGACGAAGTTGATTTCATCTGAAAGAGGTAAATCATGTAAGAAGAAGGAAAAGAGAAACGGAGAGAGAACCGCACCCTGAGGAACTCCAGCTTCAGTAAGCAAAGGAGAGGAAGATACACCATTATATACCGTGTACTGCATCCTATTAGAGAAAAAAGTGTAATGAAATTATCACTGAAGTGTTGTCTACATTCGGAATGTTGTCAAGACGATTGTCATCACTATGATCTATTCATAAAAATGAACCATTGCTAAAAGAATTTATTTTTCAGCATTTTAGGAGCTTCATCACCAATGTTAGTTAGGTAAGTCAATGATTGTATATTGGTCAGAAACTTGGTTGATTGAGTCACGAAAAGCATTTCAAACAGCCTGTTGAAAACCCTATATTCACGGCTGCTTTCTTTAACTGAATAATCAAGGAGAGGGGTGAAGAGCCAGAAAGAATAGGCAACACGAAACTCTGCAAATGAACCAAGAATCAAGAATCTACTATTGTTCAACAGATCTGTAGAAGATGTGTTAGACCCACACACACACTGAGGAGACGAATAGGAAGCGATGAGTTGTGTTCTGGGTTCAAGTGTGACATGTGTGAGGAGATCATGCGAGGAGACGAGAGTATATAGTCAATCATTGGGCGTGATGAAGACGACAGTGAACAAGGAGATGTATTTTTGAAGCCACTCAGGAGACAACTGTGTATGCCTGACTATCATTTGTGTAAAAAAATGAAGGGAGTTGCTTAGTACATCTCTAGTTCTACATGTTATCAAACTTTTATATGAATGTATGTGCAAGTTTTATAACACAGAAGAGTGTTGTATTGTATACCATAGAACTATAATGTACAGAAAGAAAGTCACTTGCCTGACACGAATAAACCATTATGGGGTACTATGCTGTGTGTGCAATCATTGTAAAAGAAATGATGTTTCCAAGGTTTTCTCACTTATCATTTAATCAATAATGAGGCTGTATATTCAGAAAGTTATTTAACTTTACTTATATATGATTCATTCCTATAAAATTCCTGAAATAATTTGTGGACTTATACAAGATTTAGTTTCGTATAGATAGTGTCAAAGAAGAACACTCTCTGCTTTCTAATGTTATTTTTATTTGGCGGGCTACTGTGACTAGATAAATCATTCTCCTGGTTACCTGAAGGTTCTGAGTTCGACCCCCAGTAGGATCACAAATATATGCAGCGTTGAACAGTTCCAAACTACAATGAAACAGCTATTGTCCACAGATTGATAACGTTTCAGAATGAAGTCTAACATGAGAACTATATGAAATCAAGTTAGGAAGTAATTTAAATACTTTGATACGAGCTATCTAGTTATTTAGCTGATGTGCGTCGGTGGCACAGCGGTAGAATGCTCGCTATCCACTCCTCACATGGGCCTGGTTTCGATCTCCAGCCACGGACGCACTCCGAAACCTCGTTAAGCTAGTAATAAGACTGGTAAATTGAGGGAAGGTTGGGTGCGAGGCTAGCAATCCTATCCCATAAAAAATAAACACCACTGGTACCGAAACTTTAAGCCTCTAGCTTGAAGTCCCTCAATGTTCCACTGGAGACATAAAGGAAGAAAAACAGTATTGTCCCAATATTATGGTAATAATTAAGAGATTAAATACACAAAGTTTCTAAACAGAACACTGTTATAGATAATAATACCTTGAATCTGCTTTAATTATCTGTTATGTCTTATCGGATCAGGGCCTTTATATTTCAAATGATGGGTAGATTAGATATATAAGTCTCACTAGGAACACTACTACTCAAGGGATACAGAGATAAAAGTACATCCGCTGAATGATTCTCATTTTTTTTTAAAACAGAAGAGGAATTTAACACAAATAAAAATTGTTCACTACAACTTAATTTCTTTAAAAAACTTTTTGTTTAACATCATAAGAATAAATTCACTTACATATTTTGGCGCGAAATAACTCCTGTAATAAAGATGAAATCAATATCCCACCGAGTACAGTTATCAGAAATATATGTAGACGATCAAAATGAGCGCTGATTTTCGTATTGTATAGATTTATAAAGTGCTATCAAAAGTCTTCTCTTCGAGGAATTCAATAATCAATCAAATGATGTATGTACTCAAGAATTAAAGTTCATAATAATATTACTATTATTATTAGTAGTAGTAGTACTGCTATTGTCCTTTGTGTTTTTTCCCCGTCGACAAAGAAGTTTCTTTAATTTTTCGATTATTTTTCTTACTTTTCAGAGAAAATATCAACTTTATTATGATGATGTTGATGAGGTGAGATGATATCAGACAAAAATATCTTCAGTATTTTACAGGCTTGATAAAAATGTGTTAAGATTTAAGCGATTTAGGTGTGTGTGTGAGAGCAAGCAACTGAGCCGGAGTAATGATGATCGATGATGATAAGAACAAGAAATTAATTAGATCTGCTCTGATAAGAGTAATCATGAAAAATAACTTAAATTAGGTGTGTTCAGTTCTAGTTCATAAGATGAGAAAAAATAGACTTAATTATTAGGAGGGAGAGAGACAGTGTGTGTGTATGTGTGTAACTAAAAGGATGCGAATAATATATGATTGTTTGTGCATTTGTTTATATGCCTTGTATGCTTGTTTCATCTCATCGTCATCACGATTGGGTATATTATATTGTTAACGCTTGTAGGAATGTCGCCCAGATCATTTCCACCAATCAGAATCAAGCTAACCAACACTTCTACCACTACCGCACCACCACCACCACCTAATAATCATATTCCTGAAAGTAATATTAATAGTAGTAGTAGTAGCAATAAGAATAATATTAATCTATAATCGTAACAATCAGAGAAGGGAGATGAAAGTAGCCTTAACCAGTTTTTATTCGCCTTCCTCCTCCTCCTCCTCTGATTGTGTATAAATCTTTTCATGTGTGTGTGTGTATGTCAACCGATAATATAACGGACACACATTACTCTTCTTATCTAGAGAGAGAGAGAGAGAGATAGAAGTGAACAAAGCGCACCAATCCAATTCTTATAGGTCAGATTAGAGATTTTACTCAACACTACTACGCCCTTATTGCTGATTGGTTAATTCAGCATTATCAGTAATTTACATCTTAGCTAGTGCAGATTATCAATACAGATTAAAAAAAAATTAGAGAGATTCAGGGGGAAGATATCCGTGAAATGGAATCGTATATATCTACTACAATGTGAATTGTATGTTGTGTTATTTTGTGTGTGTGTGTACACATGTGTAACGGACAGAGAAAGAGGCAAGGCAATAATATACAGGCGAAAAATATATGTGGATAGCCAGAGAGAGATAGGCAGAAAAATTTCCAAAGAGAAGACTATAGCAGAAATTTATAATATTTAATGGACATAATTAAGACAAAAAAGAACAGATTTCTATAAAATAGAATGAAGCTGTTTTTTAATTTTCCTATTTTTCCAGATGAATTTTCTGCATAAATATGATTATTGATTTGTCTAATGTAATAATTTGAAAAATGTAGCTTTTATTGGTATTGCTGTTGTTGTAATGGCCATTTAAGATTTGTTTCAAGTTTGGGCATGCAGTGGTATCAGTTAGAGAGGCATTGAAAGTCATTACTAGAGCACTGGACAGTTATTTCGTCCAAGTTAGGGACTCATCACAGTATGAACTCTCTGGTGTTCGGACATAGGACTTTCCGGTTACACGGCAGACTCGTAGAGCATTCAGTCACTGGGACCTGACTCCATGACCCATGAATTCTAACTTCTAGTGAGTTGTGACCAGTGGAGTGGGGTGAGGACGTTAGTTACTGATTACTTAGTGTTCACTCAAAATGTCTACATTTTTTTAAAAGGTATATCTAAAAATTTGTTACTTTAATCGGACAAATGAAATTTACAGTTTTGATTCATGAATGATGTTATATGATAACTATTCATCCATTGTGTCTCGTTGTTTCAAACGGAACTAGGATCAAAGGACAGACATCTTCTGATGAAAATTTGTGGATATTTATTCTTCTGGGAGACGGTTATGAAGTGTTTTGCTTCTATGCTCCAAATGCCAAACAGTTAATCTCACCTTTAGGCATAAATCCGACCTAAACAAACTGACTAGCTCTCACGAAGTATGCAACATAGATGGCACTGAAATAGAAACCAAGTCGGAAATTAAATACCTAGGCGTCATTCTATCTGCCGATCTCTCCTGGTCGTCTCATATCTTGGCGATTTCTAAGAAAATATTCCGTCTTACCTTCTACATCAAGAAGTTAAAACATTCTGGTATAACCCAACCCTTACTCCTACAATACGTTAACTCTCTCATTCTGCCTATTATTCTCTATTGCTCCCCCTTAGTTTTTCCCGGGAAACTGAAGAAAGACCATAACATATTTCGCAGGATGTTAAAGGTTGTCAGCAGGGTAAGCAACGTGCCACTTAACCAGCTTGTTAATATTCTGGTTGACAGGCACATGGACTCATGTGAAAAAATGGGCCAAATCCATTTTATCTAACTCACACCACCCTCTTCACTCACAACTCTCCCCTTGCATCTCATCAGGTAAAATCAGGAGCCTATATAGAAAACTATATGCTCGCACCAGCAAGTACAAAAACTCAACCATACCCTACTTGGCTCGTGTTCTGTGCGATAAAGAAAGCATTAGGCGTGACACCTATAATTCATTAAATAGCCAGTAGTACAACTGGACCTCGTCTTTCCAACTCATATCATTTATAGGTAAAAGATTTTCTTTCTTTCTTTTCCTTTTCTCTCTCTCTTTTTTCCATCATGTGCTGCTTTGCTTCTTTCTTCCGCTTACGCCAGTAAATATGACAGCACCTACTTTTCTAACACCTTCAAACACTGTTCAACTTTGGCTTTGCTATTGACATGCCAATATGTTGTCATAATGAACTGAGATTTTCTTAGTCTATGTAGAATTTTATTTATTAATAATGTACTAACTGGATGCAATACTGTAGTAAAAATGCTGAGAATTCCATTGGGTGTCAGAAGTACTGTTTTGGAATAAAGCAAATTATTATTATTATCTTCAGGATAAAGATGGTATTGTATATTTTGGTTCTTTTGAATAGTATTGGTATGCAGCTTTTCTTTGTGTAGTTTGGCATTATTATTGTTGCAAGTGAGTGAGTGAGTGTTCTATCTGTATAAAATGACTTTTGCAAACACCACATTGGTTACAGGATTTCATCATGAGCTGACATCGGTTAGAGAATCAGTGGAAAACCTGCAGGGAGTACTGGACAGCTGATTCGTGCCAGTTTCCCATTAGAAGTGGGAAATCGTGACTAGTAGGGTACAGGAGATCGGGTGTGAGGACAAATACTCGCCGAAGACATTGACTAGCGATCGCGCTATATCATGAATTGGCAGCAGCTGGAACTCAGAGGGCTGACCATTGGATCGGGTCCCAGTGGCTGCTGAATGTTTTACGAGCTAGCTCTCCTTGTAACCATATGGTACCGGGTTCGAGTGTGAAACAGCTTACCAGTACTCACTGCAGGTTTTCCAATGGTTCTCTAACTGATGTCAGCTCATCAAGATATCCTGTAACCTGTATTTCTAATTTCCTTGTGGTTTTTTTCTTAACCAATACATCCAAAAACGGAGATCCACCTTCTCTTATAGAATCGATATTCTCAAGTTCACTGGCGAAATTGACATCAGTTACACAATCAGTGTAAAACACAGAATACCACACATATGTTTTATTAATATTATTATCATTGTTTCCTTTAATTCCTAGAGGAACATAGGGCTTCAGCCGTGCGTCTCCATTGCGTTCGGTTCTCTGCTACAGTCTTCACCTGGCTCCATGTCTGCCCACACGATTTCATCTCCTCTTCACATGACCTCCTCCAAGTCACCCACCCTTGCACTGACGACCAACTCGCCACTTCCCTTTCGGGTTCCACTCGAGCAATGGCTTGTCTAGTGATGTCACTTGATGGTTTCCTCAGAGTATGACCAGCCAATCCATCTCCATTTCTTCCTGCCTATTTGTTTCACAATCGGTCCATGCTGAGTTGGTTCGCTCATTGCCAGAGATCCCTGTTGCTGATCTTTTCTGGCCGGCCATCTGATCTTGAGTATTGAGCGAAGACAGCTAGCTGTTAATGAAGGTCTGTAGCTTGTTTGAGGTGCTCTTTGTGACACGCCAAGTCTCTGATCCGTATAGTAGCACTGACTGACTTCACATTGGAGTTGAAAATCCGGATCTTATTTTTGATGCTGAGTGCTGTTGACCTCCACATAGACTTGAGAGTAGTGAAAGCCTGTCTTGCTTTTCCGATTCTTGCTTTGATATCCTCATCAGTTCAGCCTGTAGTTGAAACGATGCTTTCCAGGTAGGTAAAGGAAGTTCCTTCTTTCAGGTTCCTCCCATTTATGCTGATTGTTTTCTGTTGTTGTTGCTGTTGGTGTCGCCTAGGAATCTTCATCACCTCTGTTTTCTCTATGTTCATCTGAAGGTCTATCTTCTCTGGATGCTTCTTCTGCCAACTTGTTGCTTTTCGCTTGCATGTCTTCCAGTCTGTGGGAAATCAGACATATATCATCGGCGAAGTCCAGATCGTCCAAGTTTTTTGTGTGAGTCCATTTTATGCCTGTTTCCTCATTGCCCGCTGTTTGTCGCACTATCCAATCTACTGCAATCAGGAAAATCATTGGCGATAGTAGTCAGTTAGCTTGTCTTACTCCTGTCTTCACTTCGAAGGATTCCGTAAGTTTCCCGTTGTGGATTACTTGACATATGTTTCACGGTTGAGCTATATATCACTAACTGGCAGAAGTTATAATTAAGAGATTGGTCATTGGATTCCGCTACAGTGGATGAATAGTCAAAGAGCTCATAACCTCACGATTCTAGGTTTGATCCCAGTTGGAGTCATGGATGCGTGAAGAGTCTTAAACTAAGACGAAACAACTGTTCAGTAACTCCCTACTAGTTTTTAATGGTTCTCTAAATGATGTTCAAATCAGTTAAATCCCTGCAAACTAACATTTTCGAATCGATTTTTATCTAAAATGTTACTAACAAGGCTCTGACTGCATTCGAAATCATTTCTTCCAATTGTAATGAAGTGTCATTCACGTAAAGAACCTAGAAGACCTGGATTTCGCACGTGGATGATTTATGTTTGATGTCACACAAAATCGAAGACTTACAAGCGAAAACCGACAAACTGGTCAAAGAAGCAGCCAGCGAAGACAGGACTCCAGGTGAACATAGACAAGACGGAGGTCATGAAAATAATCAACTAACAACAACAGCAGCAGCAACATCCAGCGCCAATCACCATCAACGGGAGGGATTTGAAAGAGGTCACTTCTTTCACTTATCTAGGGAGCATTGTTTCAACTACAGGAGGAGGAACGGACGAGGATGTCAAATCGAGCCAGAATCGGGAAGGCGAGAAACACATTCATCAACTTAAAACCAATCTGGAAATCTTTGTGACTCACTCAGCATCAACAACAAAATTCGGATTTTCAATACAAACGTCAAGTCAGTCAGTTCTT